CCGTCGGCAGCACAGACGTCATGGAGGCAGTGGTTGAAATACTCCACCGGGCTCACCCGTGGGTGACACGGCCCAAAAGGTCCCGCCGGGTCCCGGATGAGCCCGCAGGAGTCGCTGGCGCCATAGGGAGCAGTGTTGGTGGCATTGCACATGGGGCAGACCTTGCCCTTGCAGCCATCGGTGCATGCTCCGTCCTCCATCGGCATCTTCCAGGAGGTGACGAATTCCTCGGTGCTCTGTGCCAGGGACCCGCCGGGCAGCTGGAAGTCATCACTGGGGTCCCCGTTGTAGTTGCCACCCAGTCCGCACGTGCGGCCCCGGTAGGCGTCGGGGATGGTGATGAGGAGGTAGGTGACCACGTTGTAGAGGAGCCGGAGGCCGGCAGCGGTCTGGAGGATGATGTTGTTCCCTTCTTGGCCAATCCGTAGCTTCCTGTCCTCTGTCACTAGCGGCAGCGTGTAGCGCTCCCCATCTACCTGGGATGTGCACGTAGGACGGGGAGGGGTTTGCACGCACGTGTGCACCAGGGGATTTTTGCATGCATGCACTCACCGATGGATTTCTTCCTGTACTCGTGCACCAACAGGTTTCGCAGGCACCAGGGCATTCTGCACGCACTCGTGCAGCAGGGGCTTTTGCACACGTGTGTGCACCAGGGGATTTGGCATGCACACCTGCACCAGGGGTTATTGCACACACGTGTGCGCCAAGGGGTGGGGGCATCCAGACTTGCCAGTGGGGGGACTTTGCACACACGTGTGCACCAAGGGATGGGGACATCCCAACTTCTGGATCAGGGGATTTTGCATGCATGCATGCATGCACCAGGGGATTTTGCATGCATGCATGCACCAGGGGATTTTGCATGCACGGATGCACCAAAGGATCTTGCACACACGCGTGCACTGAGGGACAGAGACATCCTGACTTACCAGTGGAGGGATTTTGCATGCACCAGGAGCTTTTGCATGCACGTGTACATAGGGGATTTTGCACAGATGTATGCACTGAGGGATTTTTGCATGCATATATGCACCACAGATTTTGCACACCCACGTGCACCGAGGCGCGGGACCCTCCTGACTTACCATCACCTCCCATTTCCGTCCCCTCTCCATGCTGACTGTGTAGCCGTGGATGGAGATGACCACCTTCTTCATCAGGGCCACGTTGCCCGGACCGCCCACGTCATGCTCCAGCAGCACCGAGAAGTTTGTCAGCCGCGGCGCCGGCTTGCAGATCCGCGCCAGGACATAGGTGCAGGAGCCCAGGAGGTCAAAGGCTCGCCCGTCGAAGGTCACATAGTGTGGGTCTCCTGACACCACCAGCCTCCCGTAGCCAGCGGGGTAGCACCCCAGCACCCCGTCCTCTACTCGACACTCCTCGTGGGCGCTGCAGAAGACCTCCTCGCACTCCACCACCCTGTTGGCTTTGCAACGGCATCTCTCCCGGCACGAGGCATAGAAATCCTCACCCTTCTTGTAGTAGCGGCCCCGGTGCTCGCAGCCACACTCGCCCGCCGGCACGCACTCGTCACCACTGAGGACGAAGCCCTCGTCGCAGAAGCAGCCTTCGGTGCACAGCACCGATGCGCAGCCCTCGGGGACGGCTCGGCCCCGACACGTGGCCGGGCAGCTGCTCCCGCAGAGCTCATAGTGTGAATGACGGGGGCAGGAGGGGCCTGCAAGAAGCAGAGGAGAAAACGTGAAGCCCCACTTGGATTTGCAGCCGAAAGCATCAGGGTGAGTATTTCCATCATTGCACCAAAGCTTTCGGGGGGACAAATGCCAGCAGGTCTCCAGCAGTGGAGCATTAATATCACTCTGGAGGGCAAAGGGGGTTTATTTTGCATTCCCCTTCCTTGCATTAATGAAATACGTGGAGGGTGATGGGGATTTATTTTGCATTCCCCTTCCTTGCATCAAGGAAGGATCTGGAGGGCAACGGGGATTTATTTTGCACCGTTGCATGAAGGAAGGAATGAATTTTGCCTTGGAAATGAGTTGGAGGGAATTTCCCCACATCCATATTTGCATCTAAACTCATTGTTTGGCCTCGGGGCTGTAGAGGGAGAGAATAAAGTGATTGTGTTGCAAGGAGGTACTGGAAACAGGGCAAATAAACCAAATTTTGGAGGCATTTTGTGTTTCCATTGGCTCTAAGCAAAGCCAAGAGTGGGTGGTTGGGCTCAAAACCTTATTTTTATGGCCAAGTGCGGGGGGGGGAATCCCCTTCTGGCCCCGCTCACCGCAGAAGGATGGCGTCCTCCACTGCTCCACGCTGACGCCGTGGCTCTGGCACTCCGTCACGTAGGCGGCGATGGCTTTGCACAAGGTGTCCCGGTGGCCTTTGTAGTGGCAGGCGTCAAAGGCACAATCCTCGAGGAAAGGTGCAGGGTTGACAGCGCGGTGGCAGGCCCGGAAGGGTCCCCCAGCTCTGGCGATCACCCCACAATAGCTGTCACCGCGGTAGGGCTGTTTCTGCTCTTCATTGCACACCGGGCAATCCCCCACACAACCGGCTGAGCAGCCGGGGACATCTCCCACCTTCCAGCTATCGGCCAGCTGGATTTCATCCACAGCCTGTTTGCCATCACGGGTGATGAAGTCATCGTCGGTGTTGCGGTTGGCATTGCCGCAGAGGCCGCAGACGGCGCCAGCGTAGGCGTCGGGGAGGATGACGCGGGCGTAGCTGTACCAGTCGAAGCTCACCCGCAAGCCGAAGGCGGTGCGGGCGAAGCCGTGGACGCCGCTGTGGTAGAGCTCGAACTGGCCCTTCTGGGTGAACGGGAGCTCCACGAAAGCACCGTTGACCTGGGGAAGGTGGTGTGGAGGGTCAGTGGTGGCACTGGGTGGCAAACGGCTCATGCAACCCGCTCGAGATCGGGACGTTTTTGCAAAACCCTTTGCACAGGGAGGATTTCCAGGCAAATTCAAATCAGTCAAGTTTGGAGCGTTTTTGGTAAATACTTTGCATGGGGAGAATTTCCGGATAAAATGCAAATTGTTTGAAATTTGGGTGTTTCTGCAAAAACCTTTCGCATGAGGAAGATTTCCGGGCATAGGGTTCTATATTAAGTGGAAAATATTATTGTTCAGAGACAAAAATAAAGGAGAAGTTGTAGCTAACCCTTTTGTGCAAACACTTCGGCTAAAACAAGGTGGGAATTGAACCTTTCCCAAATTAATTGAGTCAGTTTGCAGCTGTCAGGGAGAAAGGAAATATAAACTCAGAAAGCCGCATGGGAGCAAAAAAAGGAAGCCGAAGACGTCAAGCAAAGTGGATGCTTTTGAATGTGGAAGTATTTTTGCTATTATTCATGGATATTTTTCACTCGCTTAGTTTGCCAGAGCGAAAATCATCCCATTTCCAGCACACCATAAACAAGTTGTACGGGTTTTTTTTCCTTTTTTTAATATGAACTTCTTTAAGCGTTTAAAAAGAAGGTGTTGAAATCCATACTAGCTGCTCAGGGCTCCCTCTGGAGACGGCAGACAGAAATTGATGCTTCCATGGAGGCGTGCATGAGGGAAAAAAGTGCAATTTGGGGGAGAACATAGCAAATAAGCAGTTTAGATGCAGGTTGCATGAGGTCCTTGGCGGACACCTACCTTGACCTTGCGCGGATGCTCCTGGCTCATGCTGATGACGTTGCCGTAGACCTCCAACGTGACAGTTTTGGTGAAGGACACGGCTTTGCTGCCCCGGTTGTTGTTCTCCACCTTGACGGTGAAGGGGACCAGGGTGGGATCTTGGGTGCAGAGCGCTGCGAACTGATAGATGCACGTCCCTTGGAAGTCATATTTCAACCCGTCGAAGGTGGTGTAGTGAGGGTCACCCGTCCCAATACAGGTAAAGTACTTGTTCGCCTGGCAGCTGGGGACACCGTCGACCGTGACGCATTTCTCATGGGCCTTGCACCCAGCCTTCTTGCAAGCTGCCTTGCCCCCCACCTCGCATCGGCACCGGCTCTGGCAGCTCCCATCCTCCCAAAACTCTTCCCGGACCTTGTAGGAGCGGCCGTTGTGGAAACAACTGCAGGTCTCCACTGGGACGCACGTGCCATTGTGGAGGACGAAGCCCTCGTTGCACTGGCAGCTCGCCATGCACGGTTCGCTGCAGGACGCGGGGGCTTTGGGGTCGGCACAGGTGGCAGGGCACGCCGTCCCACAGGCCTCGAAGTGGCTGTTTTTGGGACATCTCTGAGCTGTGGGGATGATATTTGAGGAGAAGAAGATCTCAAAAAAAGAAAAGGGCAACACAAGGGATGAGCTAAGCACTTTCCTTAGAGGGACATCAGGTTGCTACGCTGGAGGTGTTGGCTCAGCTGATGCCTACAAGTGATTCAGAGTCCGTGAGACACCCCGTGGGGATGGCCCTCAAGAAAACCCCTACATAATTCTGTGTGTTATGGACACCTGAAGTCAGATAAGGTGGATTTTGGGGTGGTTTGGCATGAAAAGAGCAACGCAACCCTTCCCCGATGCTGGAGATGTTGGTTAAGTTGACACCTACAAGCATCAACTTGGTGGGCTGGGCAGCAACTCTCAGATACCCACGGCCAGATCCCCATGTGGATCCCCTTCTTTCTCCCCCAAAATGCTTGGGGACCCTCCATATGTGCTCACCACAGCCTGCTGTGTCCTGCAGCATCTCCTGGCCTCCACAATCATCCTGGCAGGAGGGATCTCGCCAGCTTTCGGCCCAGTCCTCCACACTGGCAGCCTGAGTGCCATCGGAAAGTGTCGTCTCATCCTCCGTGTCCTCGTTGAAGTTGCCACAGAGTCCACAGGTGGCCCCGAAGTAACTGCTGGGCACCGCCACCATTATGGCCCAGTCTTCATCGTAGGTCACCTGTAGCCCAAAATCTGTTTGCAGAATGGTCCGGCCCTCATTTTGGGAGATCTGCATCTTCCCCGCTTCCAGGGTGGCTGGTAGGCTGGTGAGTTTGTTGTTGACCTTGGGGGAAAGGAGGAGAAGAAGAAGGATTAAATCTCACCGGATGGTGGCTTTGCTAAGAGTTCACAACCCCAAAAAAGCATATAGATACAGTCAGGAAGAGAAATTTCTTTCAGGAAGGAGCGATCATCAGCATAAACCAGCAGTTTTGCCCCACGTCCTGTAGATACACAATAGGTTTTAGCGGGAAAAGATCAAACCCCAAATGTCTCATGGGAGAACCATCTCCTTCAACTTCTGAGCTTAAAATCTCATTTATGTTAAGACCACTGAACTGTACGGCTGGGAGAAGCCTCATTTAACCTTGCAAAACAGACTTACGTCTCACCTAGACTCCCTTTTTGTGGTAGATCTCCATGGTTGGTGGAGCTCATGGATAAAGCCAACCTCACGGTAGAGTTGCACCCTTAAAATCGCCTTTTTCTTGATGCTAACCAAAAAGTGAGCATGGTTTAATTGAAGACACCTCGAGTCAGGCACAAAGCACCCTCTCCTTTGCCATGTCTTGATTCGTAATGCAAAATTTCCCAATACTCTGTGTTTCAGTGGTTCTCCTCCTTTTTTAATGCCCAACCTCACCCACCACGATGTTTTAGCCTCTTCCACTTGGCACAAAAGGCTTTCTCCAGAATAACACTGCCACGGCCTGGAAAAACCCACCTGGATTTTGCCTCCCTCTCCCCTGTGGATGGAGATGTTGTAGCCGTACACGTAGATGTTGGACAACCACTCCTTCAAATTGCCTTCGCTCTTCCTCTCCTCCACGACAAAAGGCACCAGGGTGGGCTCGTTGCCGCAATACTTGGCAATGGTGTAGGTGCAGCCGCCCCGGATGTCCACGGTCATCCCGTCGAAGGTGTGGTATTGCAGGGACTGCGACCCCATACAGGTTCCCATGTAGTCGTGCACGCACACCGCCTCCCCCTTCTCCATCTTGCACGTCTCCTTCGTGCGGCATTTCACGAGCCGGCAGGGATCTGCGAGAAATCGCACACAATTATTTGCGGGGATGACTTTGCTGCCAGATGTGGCCTCAGGGACAGTGCAAGCATCACCGTCACTGTAGACGGTCAACCAGCACCTCCAGATCTCTACTATATTAAAGCAGGGATTTATCCCAGGTAGGTTTAGCCACCTTAAGTTTAGACTTGAACATCTGGGTTGATCGCTTGAAGCTCCTTTCATTGATGGCTTAATTACAGATGATTTATTTATAGATTATTTATAGATGATATATTTATAGAAGAAATATCACCTCCAAAGCCATGTTGGATGAATTACCCGCTTTTAGACCTGCCTATCCTTGTGCTACAAGAGAAAAGCTGGGTTTCAGCTCAAAACAGCTAATTTTAGATACTTTTCTAGATGTGAGCTCAGCTATGGGGATGGAGAGGGGATGTTATAGACACCCAGCTCGGAGGACTAAATTTTGACTTCTAAAAATGTGTGGTTTTGCCTTGCATTGCAACCACGCTTTTGAGAGGGGGCAGGAGGGAAGCAAAAAGGGGGTGAAGGGAGGTGGACGTGGCCATGGGGCACTCACCGCTGTCGCAAACAGCCGCCGACCCGTAGGCTTTTTGCTCCCGGATCCCCATGCTGAGCAACCCAAAGGGGGACGTCTTGTGCTCCACCGTGTGGACGGCGAATTGACTGCCCAAACTCTGCCCGGCCCAGGAGTAATCGGTGCCCCGGACGGGCTTCCACACAACATTTTTCAACGGCATTTTGTTGAGCATCATTCCAGACGTCTCCGAGGTCTTGGCTATCAGCAGGGCGTAATTATCATAACCGTCCAGGGCAAAGACGTTATAGGAGTGGCAGTAGCTGGAGACATCTGGGATGGTCATAAAAAAGGGGTCATAAGAAATGGCATCTTTATTACCTCCGTCGGCAAAAAAAATGACCTGGATGCCAGCGTTGGCAGAGAGGTACAAGGTATTCAAGGCTTGGAGTCCATAGAGCGTTGACCGGCTGGGCCGTAGCTCCCGAACGGTCTTGGTCACCCCGTGTTGAGACTCCACGCGTGTCGGCTGGGAGGTGGAGACGTAGATGATATCAGACTGAGTCTCGAAAGGCAACGGCGGCACGATGAAGGTAGTGCCCCAGCTGGAAACGGGCTGGAGCTGCTCCACCAAATGGTCGCAGTGGGCGAACCTGGCCAAGCAAGTGTGGCCGGTGAAGACGGCCATGGGTTTCTGCGCCACGACCCTTGTGCCAGACATATCAGACGGGCTTTGGAGCTGGGCTGCTTGGAAGGGCTCCAGTCTGATGGGGAGCACTGAGCCCCGGGGGTAAGACCGGCCTTGGTAGGTCACCGTGGCTTTGAGGTGCACGTCAACTGTGGTGGGCTCATCCCAGGCGGCCACCACGAACTCGCCATAGCGGTCAGTGCCCACGTTGGGCGTCACAACGTGGTACTCCGTGCCCCAACTGTGCACTGGGTATACCACGGCTGAGTCAATCGAGGTGGGTTTCTCATTGACCATCACCAAGGAGATGGCATTGTTGGCCCTCACCACCACAGTGTTGTCGAAGGTTTTACTTCCCACCATCTCTGCTTGGGGTGGGATCTTCACCAGGATGGTTTGGCCCGTGGTTGCCTGCACCGTCATTCTCAAGCCTGGCTTCTTCATGGAGATGGTTACGGACGTGAAGGGCGAATAACCTGTGATGAGCAGCTTGAAGTCGCTGTTGAGGGTCTGCTGCAAACCATTTTGCATGAAGGCCACCACAAAGTCTTCCCCCAGGTGATGCGGAGCTGACGCAGTGACATTGAGCAAGTAAAAGACACCTAGAAAAGCCCGAGGAAGAGGAGAATTTGCCATCAGTGCCTTCATCATCCCCAAAGTCAGATTTGGCAATCCTAGCTGGGGACCAAGACTCAAGTTGGGCTTGAGGTGGCACCTGATCTAGTTGTGGCGGATAAGGAATAGCGATTTGACGGACTTTTGATTTGATGGACTATTGATTTGATGGGTTATCAAGTTGGAGAAATAAAGCCTGTCGATTTGAACAAATATTGAATTGAAAAAATTGTTTTGAAGGAGTATCGATTTAAAGGACTATCAGTTTGAGGAAATAGCAATTTGAAGAAATAGCAATTAATTCCCTGGGCAAAAGATGAGCTTTTTGGGTGGGTTTCGTGCGGGATGGAGGAATTCGAAGGGAGCAATTGGGATTTTTAAAGAGTCCCCTTTCACCTCCAAAAGGCCACGGGGGTGGAAATGCGGACAGCCACGCTCAGAGATGATGCTGAAGGACCGTGGCTGGTGCTGGGTTGCAGGCAGGGGGAAAATTGCCCTATTTTCAACCGGTCCCCCCCAAAATATGTCTTGGGTGGGGTCTTTGCCTCTTGGTTTCCCCTCTACGTGTCACGGGAGGGAATTTTGTCTCTTCTCAATCATTGCGTGGGATGGGGGTGAGAAATGTGGCCTCTTGGACTGGAAAAATCTTATTTTGAGGTGATTCACATTTGGGGGGGCGGGAATTTTACAGGTTATGATGCATTTCTCCACCCTGTTTGTACTCACCCCATAACACGATGGTCCAGACATGCAGCAGCACATCAGCTTTTCCCTGGCCCGGGCTGCCATCCATGGTGCTTTGGCTGCAGAAGGCAAGGAAACAATCAAATTCTCTGATTTTTTTAAATTGCACTTGTGTTTGCCCATGGCCCAAAATTCTGAGGTTTATTGTGCTTGCACATGCCCCAAAATTCAACATTTTATTGCACTCGGACTCACACGCATCCCCAAAAATCTGTGGTTTTTGCCTTTGTACTCATCCACAAAATAAGAGTTTTATTGCATTCACCCGAAAAGCCTGTTTTTTGCACTCACAGATGCCCCAAAAATCTGTTTTTTTCACTCATATTCATCCCAAAAGTCGCTATTTTATTGCACTTAAAACCTGTCCCAAAAAAACCCTACATTTTATTGCACTTGCACTTGCACCGGACCCCAAAATCTGCTTTTTGGGGGCATTTACATGTGCCCTGCCCCCCCCAC